AAGCTACTTACTTGGAGCCTGTGAGTTAAGCGCTCCCAGCTGCGGGAAGCCCCACTCATCACTGTTGTTTACATTCAGATGTTTCACATTGTTGTTGGTGTAATCATTCCAGGTACAGTTACTGTGAAACTGAGACTAAAATAACCATCCACATCACAGCTAAAATACGGCTTTGTGCATATAAAGGTGAAAGACTCTGCAACAACTGCAAGCAGGATTCTCAAGTGCTTTGGATGTGTGCTCTTTGGATTTGCTCTTTTATCTACAATGCCCAGGGAAAGCAGTGCCTACTAGGTGAATATTTCTAAGAGAACCATTCCTATACAACAGGTTTACTTAGGTGAAAGAGAACTGGCAAAAAGTGCCTACAGTAACCTGCAGAAGCCTGGAAGACCTGTCCCAGGGTGAAAAAAACAGGAAAACGTGATAGGAAACAGGGGCAAGAGGAATCAAATGAGAACCTTACAACTGGTCTTCTCACTTCTTCACGGCGTTATAGCCATGAAAGAAATGGCATGGCTTTATAGCTGAACCACCCAGGCAGCTGATCACCTTTGATGATCACCTGATCAATAAGGGATGGCTAATCACCTCTCATCTTGACTCATTAGTCAATGAGGAAATGTGGTTAATCACCTCAATGATAAATTTATCCTAGTTAGCTGAATACTGCCCACAGAGCCTGAAAATAATCCACATCCCTGGAAAGAAAATAGCAACAACCCAAAAAACTACTTCTGCCTAGTACATTTACCTTTACACAACCTTAATTTTCAAGCACCTTAAGAAATTACACGGGGCCCAAAGTTACTAAAAATGCCTAACACTCCAAAGGGAAAAGGTACCATCTTGACAACCTTTGTAATGGTTACATGAGAAATCTGATTAAAATGGTCTGCCCGTTTTTTGTCCCACTGCCCAGAAGGACTGCTCTATCTCTTCTTTCAGCTCATCAAAGTGAAGAGTAGACTCACACAGGCCATTTCCTCAGGATGGATAAATAAAAGAGTCAGCAACTCCTCCCAGCCAGTCCCACTGCCCAGGAAAAGCCCTATGCATTTATTGTTCTTACTCCAGTACCAGTTGTGAGAAGTCTTTCTGCTGTCTCAGGAGCAGCAAACAGAAAATTCCTATATGAAACACAGCGTGTATGACTTCATTAACAAGCCATGGCTGGGCACAGAGGATGTAATTATTAAAACTCCAGGAAGTGGAGAGTCCCTGTCCAAACTTTGAAATGCCAGGAAAAAAAATGAGGCAAATCCTAGGGGAAATATTTCTGAGAAACTAAGAAATAGCGCCCGTGGGAAACTAAAAGGGAAAGGAAATTTGGGAAGCATTTAGGGTTAGAATGACTGGATCACACAGAAACCCCTCCTGTCATTATCAGATGAGGGAAATGAGAGTAAGACAAAGATGCCTGAAGAACACAAACACAATTTAATGAGGCAAGACCTGCTGTAACTCATCAACTCTATTAATTGACATGTCCATAACTATGAATCCTGCCCTTAGGTCTGATATGGGAAGAAGCTGAAAACAAAATACGGAAAGAGGAAAGCTCCACACAGGATATGCTACCCATTTAATGAAGTCTCCACTAACCTGCTGTCCCTTTTCAGCAGCTTTCTGGTAAAGATGCCCATGAAAAGTATAGGGGTAAAAAATAGCTGCTACAGGGAGATGAAGTGATTGGAGTGTGGCAGTTACCCATCTGATGTGAACTGGGGCCATGAACTCTGCACAGAGCCTCGAACCGAGGCCAAAGCACAGTCAAGGACTGATTTCCATCTCTGGAAATCAGCAGCCAGAAAGAAGCGTTAAGAAACAAGCTACCAGAGCAGCTGAGATTTGTAATCCTTCCCAACAGATTGGCCAAGAAAGAAGAACAAGGACTACAGGGATATGAACACAAAAGATGGCTACAGAAACTACCTGGCTGTTATGGACTCAGTCCTGCATCTCCAGTCTTGTTTAAAGTAACGACTCCAATGTACTGGGGAGGAATTAAAAACCTACCCACTTGGTGAGGACATAAAGCAGACATTCCTAAGCTTTGAGGGCTGTCATGACTCCTTCAAGTGTGTTTTATGAGCCCCGCTAAACAGCAGAAGTGAAAGAGTCATAACTCAAAAGTGAAGCTGGAAGGAAGAAACATCATCAAAATTTGGGGAACTCTGGCATCAAAGGTGAGGTTATTCCTGCAGAATCCCTTCACCACATCACTCCAACACAAACTGCAGCGAAGTTCATCAGAAAGGTTTGCTGCTGACAATCTGAGGAAGCTCTTGCAAGCAGCTCACCACAGCTGTTGACTACACATGGATCATACTTGCAACAACGTCCCTGAGGAGCCAGGAGTGTCTTCAATAGAAAGTTATACCTTGCGGCTTTGCGTTGCTTTGAAACAACACACAAGTCAAGACTTCTTTCTGACAAACACAGCAACTTTAAATAGCAACTTTAGCATTTCTAACAGAGAGGTGAAAACAAATAATTCTTGCAGATTCGTGTATTCTTATTGCCTTTGAGCAATGCTATAACCTCTCAGGAAATACTAACCACTGTTGGGCTTAAATCACCTCTGTCGGTACTACACATCAAGTGTTCAGGGTTTCCTCTCTCCCCTCTAATTCCTTATTAAGAGTGTCATTTGCCCCAAAACCTGTTCATTCTGCACCTGAAGTCATAATCCTTTGTTTGCAACCTCACAATTAGTTGCTGTGGAAATCATTTGGATGTCACAAAAACAAAAGGCTTGGTGAAAACTTCAGGTAGGAAATAAGTAGGTTGAGCAGATGAACTCTTACAAATAAGAGACTGTTTTCCGGCAACTATTCACAAAAATAAATAAATAAATAAATAAATAGGAAACGAAAAAAAAACAAAACTTTCCCGTAAACCTAATCTATGACTTGCATTCACACAGAGCTGTCAAAGACAAGGGATAGAAGAATTTCCCTTACGATTTATTAAGGCCGTTCAGTACTAAAAAGGGGCCTATAAGATGGGCTCATTGCAATAGGATGAGAGGTAATGGTTAGAAACTAAAAGAGGGAAGATTCAGGCTGGATGAGAGGAAGAAATTCTTTACAATGAAGGGAGTAAAATCCTGGCAGAGGTTGCCCAAAGAGGTGGTGGATGCACCATCCCTGGAGACATTCAAGGCCAGGCTGGATGCGGTTCTGAGCAACCTGATGTAGTTGAAGATGTCCCTGCTGATTGCAGAGGGTTGGACTAGATGATCTTTGAAGGTTCCTTCCAACCCAAACTGCCCTATGATTCTATGACTTTTGGTCCAGGAGAAATGTCTAGAAAAGTCTACTGGCTATAAATCTATTTATTGCATCTTGATAAAATACTTCTAAACCCTAGGATCTTACATTCAAATTACTGTGAACCTTATGCTTGACTTAACAAAAACAAAACCCCACACCACCTGATCTGTGGATATTTCTCCCCTAGAAAATAATGCATTGAGCATAGTGGTAAAATAAGCTTCTTGATGGACTTCAGATCAAACTAAAACCAACCCCTCATAGCTCCTACCTGCTGTGCCACCCATCAGAGCAACCACTGCTCACTCATCTTCACCACGAGAGACCCCTGATGCTCAAATTGTGAACACTCTCACTTCGGCAGCAAGTTACAGGGGTGCAGCAAGTCACAGGAGAGGGACAAGGCTGTCCAGCTGTGGGGTCGGGGTGGCAGACAAAGTGTCTGCTAGTTGTTTGCCCTCTGGCTCTCCGCAGTGACACGACAGAAACACAGATGAAATTGCCTTTCACCTTTGTTTCATGATTTAAGATAATGAGCAGCAGATTATCAGTACAAGGGGTAAAAATCCACTTAATAACTATGGAATAGCTCTTCCTCTTGGAAGCAAAGAGCACACGCACTGTGGGATGCCATCTGGTTCTGGCCCAGAGTTCAGAACCAGGGCTCTCTCTGTCCTCTCTGCCCTTCATTTACTGTTGAGCACGATGGGCAGTAAAGCTGGGGTAACTCTACTATTCATTCCAGGTTTGATCTTCCACAAAAGAAATCCACTAAGCAGTAAAGACCAAAATACCTGTCGTTTCACTACTGCAAATCAGGAAGAGCTTGAGGAAAGCCGGTCAGCTCTACCACAGATTTCTCTACCCAGCTGCTTGGCAAAAAGAGCTGCCCTAGCATGCTCTGGCCATTCTCAAATCCCTCTTCTCCTTCCCCTCCCAGGTGAAACAAAGCAAAGCTGACAGACTTATGACAGGCCTGTGCTTGATGGGGAGGAACCCAGCATACAGGTAGTGCATAGAAATACTGATAATTTGTTCTGGAAAGTGCCTAAGAGCTGGAAGTTGGACTTCAAAATCAAAAGTTTGACCAAGTAGGTCTGGACTTTCTCTGACGGATGTCTGGAAATCTCCAAGGAGGGAGATTCCTCAGCCTTTTTGCAGAGCGTGTCCTGTGCTCATCTCCTCCTACTGTGGATTTTTTTTTTCCTTTGCTCCATGGAAATTTCCTTTGCCGAAACATGTGGCCATTGCCCCTTGTCACCATCACATAAACTGGGAAATGCCATGGACTCAGCAGACCTGTACGAATGAGAGAGAACTGAGTTCTGTTTCTGTTAGCAGTATGGCTAGTGCACAAGTGACATTCCATTCACTTGCATCCTCAAAAGCCTCCACTCCCATGGTCTGAATCTGTACATAATCTGTGCCTCCCAGAGGGCTTAGAATAGGGATTCTGGTAAAGAATAGGGGTGAGCAACTTGCACATAAGTACAGCACATAATTGTTTATTGCAACTTGCACATAAGTACAGCACATAATTGTTTATTGCATCTTTAGACATGTCTTAAAAATAATTGTTTTTCAAGGTTTCGACAAGCATAATGTATTGATGTCCTATTTATACTGCGGATCATGAATTTTAAGAGGTTACAAGCACTCTGCATATAGAGTTGGAGAGGTAATTCTTTTGTAAAGAATTAAATCTGCCAATAACATTTGACTTTGGAAAACATGCTAAAATGTTCTTCAAGAGTGACTTGCATCTTTTCATTAAAACGAGTGCTTTAGCTACACAAGCAACAACCATAGATCTGAAATGAAGAGATGTCTCGCACTTGGTAGCTACATAGTGTTCATGAAAGTTTTGTGACCTCCTCAACGGAAGATTGCTTTTACTTTCATTAAATACATATATATTATAACCCCAGTAAAAACAACCCAAAAGACATGTAACACCAGAAAAAATACATTGAAATAACACTAAGGATCTAATATAAATCCACAAAAGCCAGGAAATTCAGAGATAAAGAAAGACTTTCAGATGAGGGAAAACTTTCCAATATATTAAACTGGAGCATAAATTCACTTCCTCTTCACATGTTTGCCATCAAGTCATTCCAGACACAGGGGGTAAGTTTCTCCCTTGGGGTAACTCAAAGTGCCTTCAGCAGTACTACACCAAGAATCAGTTTGGCCCTACAGAACTATGTCTTAATACTTTCTCTAGTTGTGATAATTACCATTGATTTGAGTTTAAACAGCAACTTCCTCTCATACAGCTCATTTTCCCATCATTCACAGACTGCTATAAAACTTTATTTGTGAGATCGTAGTAGTTTCCATGATAACAGACTATGATGTCAATAGTGGGGTTATGACTTCATTGACAGACCAACTAGAACCTCTGTGCAAAGGAGAAAATCCACACTCAAATACAAATATATCTGAGATTAGCAAAGATAACACTGCACTTCACGGGGCATGGACATTTCCATCCGCGTTAATAATATTCTCTACTTTTCACCTGAGCCAAGTATGAAAATGCCCCTTAAAAATTCTGTTTCCTTCATAAGTCATTCATGGTGCTGATGTGCTGCCACCCAAACTCAGCCTTGGCGCTAGCGCTGCATGGGCCAAGCTTGATGTCAGCAGCAGTTTAAATCATATGTTGTGGGTCCAATTCTTCGCTGCACTCTCTGGAAGTGCAAAGTCAAACGTACAGCTTAAGACAGGGTATGAAGGGAATGAAATGATTTTGAGCTGTCTTCAAAGTTCTCGTAATCCTGTCTTTGTCTTTAAGCTGACATGGCTTTGGCTCTGGGACCTGGCTATCCCATCCCCAACAGAGCAAGATAACCATAATTAACGAGTTACTAGAAGATCCCCATGTGTTTCATTGAGCAATAGGATCCAAAAAAGGAGTGTGACAAGGAGAACTGGAACAAGGAAAGACAGGCTGCAACCTTTCCACAGCTAGTACAGATACGTAAGAAAACTACCCTGATCCTTGAGATACAGAGCAGAACTGCTGTAAACAAGAGCTTTCCACAACACTTGTGTTTCTGAAAGAGGAAAAAATATTTTTCCTTTCAGTTTCCTAGACTGCAAAAGGCAGAGGGGCTGTGGCTGACGCCACGCTGCCATGTGAAATAAGAGATGGGTAGCTTAAGCACTCTTCCACCCTAGACTGAAAACTCTTAATATCGGTGCATGGGACACAACTGAGCTGGAGGTCAGATTCAACCCAAGAACCGAGGAGTGACAATTCCCTGTTGCTCTAAGTTTTACAGACACTTGGGCTCTTTGTCCATTCTTTTTGCCTGTCTTTAAGACCTTCTCAAAGGCTACCTGAAATTTCTCATGTTTAGTTTTGTACCAGATGTTTATTTTGTTGGATAGCTTCCAAATAAATCCAGACATTTTTTAATTAAATAAATGCCCTTTTCCATTTTTCAGATGTCTTATCATACTCAATTTAAACTAAGAACTTTTTCAAAGCTTCTATCCGTGACATTTATGTAGCCCTGAAGGAGCAGAGCAGGCAAGCTACGTATTCAAACTTTGACCTGGAGAAGACAAACAGAGAATGGAGGCAGGTATGGTTCACCTCTGTCTCTATTCTTGTGCAGTGTCTGGAATGCCCACATTGCAAAAGGGCAAAGGAAGGACAGAATCCCTCCCATGGCTTCTGATTATAAGGCCTTTCATGAAAACTAACAAGTCAAGAAAAAATGAGGATGCTAAATATATCGAGTTCTGCCTCCCAGTTATTACACACTCAAGATAATGGCTTTTGGGGCTTTGCAATGTATAAAGCTTGCTCTGGGACATTATTTAATTACCTATTTGAAACCGTAATCATGCAAAGCAAACCACAATCATTTATAATTATGCAAAAATATTATGATGGCTCTAACTTCCCCCTTAAATAGCTTTCCTAGTGATTTGGAAGGGTAGGATTAATAACCTCTTTTTTGGAAACAAATGGCATCTGGTTTGCCTGCAGAGGCTCTGAGACCTTCTGCTTCCTGAAATGAGAATAAAAGAGATGAAATAGCTTCTGCTTGGAGCAAAACTGTTATTAAGTATATAATTTTAAAACATTTTTGTGTGCATGTGTGAACTCCAATTTTGTTGCTCTCTGTGCAACAGATATTGCCCTTACCTAAGGAATTTTGATCTAGTTTAAACAGAAAATACGATGCACAAAACCTTCTCCCTTTAGATATGATGCAGATTAAAGGGCAAATTCTTTCCCTCACTCAAAACCATAACCAGTGGCTTTTTGTTAGTATAACTGAGAGAAACTTTCCAGTTTATGCATCACCTTTTACAAGTATTAGTATTAACTCCAACCAAATCAGTTACAGTCTTGCTATTGAATTCACTTCAATGGAGCCACTGACTTAACAGACTTAAAAAGAATTGTCTTCAGTGAGTAACGTACCCTCTGCACGTATCTACCTACGAACACAGCTAGGTGTATCCTTAATGAAAGTTACACCTGAGGAAAAAAAAGCAAAATCATTCAGCATTTTCAAAACCACATCTTTGTACAGCTTCGAAAAATTTGCTGAAGGGTGAAGTACAGAGATGTCCATATTGCTGTTTTCAAACAGACCACTGAAATGACTAAACAAGAAAAGCCTTCTACTTTTCAGAAGCAATACTGTTTATATGACATACAGTTGCTTTACAATAAAAAAAAAATCATCAACACCCCCCCCCGTCTGCATCTATGTACAAGTCTAGCCTACCTGCTCATTCATAGAATCATAGAATAGTTAGGGTTGGAAAGGACCTTAAGATCATCAGGTTCCAACCCTCCTGCCATGGGCAGGGACACCTCACACTAAACCATCTAGCCAAAGGCCTCTTCCAGCCTAGTCTTGAGCGCTGCCAGGGATGGAGCATTCACAACCTCCCTGGGCAACCCATTCCAGTGCCTCACCACCCTAACAGGAAAGAATTTCCTCCTTATATCCAATCTAAACTTCCCCTGTTTAAGTTTTAACCCGTTATCCCTCATCCTATCACTACAGTCCCTAATGAAGAGTCCCTCCCCAGCATCCCTGTAGCCCCCCTTCAGATACTGGAAGGCTGCTATGAGGTCTCCACGCAGCCTTCTCTTCTCCAGGCTGAACAGCCCCAACTTTCTTAGCCTGTCTTCATACAGGAGGTGCTCCAGTCCCCTGACCATCCTCATGGCCCTTCTCTGGACTTGCAGTGACTGCTCAAAACTTACTGACATTAATAACAAGTTTATTGTATTTACATATTGATTCAAACACTATTCTTGCTATGTGAGTCACTGTAAACTTTGTGTTCATCTGGTGCCTAACTTCAACATGTATAGATATTCTTCCTCAAATTACCTGAGTTTTGTGCAAATGACTATTTGCACAATTTATAAAGCTTTATAATGAACCAGCAGGCAGTTATACATCACGTTAGTGGCAGATGGAGAAGGGCTGAAATCCAGACAACTGATTTCATTAGGAGTTTGGCCATTGACTTCAACAAGCCTAACATTTTATCATGTATCTCATGGCTGCATATTCCATCTACTTGATCAGAGGCATCATGTGTCACCAACAGACCGCTTGTCTATCTACATATCTCAATCAGACTTACACATAAAACTTGACAAAACAATTTTGCATGATTGAATTGTCATCCCTGATTTGAATGGGAAGTTTGCTAAAGAAGCTCCTTAAAAATTGCCTACACCTTTTCCTCCTCCAAATAGCTCATGAATGCTAATGAATGCAAGAGTGCATGCCATGGCAGAGACAGCCTTGTCTCCTCTACATTTGTAATACTGTGATCCAAGTACAGTATGTACTTTGTCAATGTGTTTTGTCAGTTGTTTTCTCAAGACCCAGATAGTTGTCTATGGAAGGAGAGTCCCCAGGTAGATTTCTCAAGGCGTTTAGCATCATTAACAGGAAACAATGCAGGAGGAGCAGCCAGAGGGTGAACGGGTTCTGTGTGAATACTAAGGAAACCCCAAGAACATGTTAACACAATGCAACTTTGGTAAGATCATAACAGTGAAGCTCACATATGTGTTTGTATTACATTTTGTAAAAGGCCCCAATTGCTGTCTATTGGGGTAATTGATATAACAGTCAAAATGGATTAGGAGAATATATTGGGTAATGCTTTCTGCTATATGCAGGAACTAACAGTCTGACTGTTTTTTAAGCTCCCAGCAGTTACTTAGAACAGACAGGATGTAAAAACCCTCAATCTTGCCCAATTCACTGATAATCTTAAAAGGCTCCAAAACAGAGATTTCCACTACTGGTAAACTACTTTTACTCAAAACAAACCAACCTCTGCAGACCAGACTCCTTTCTCATTGACACGGATACATATACACAAGTAATACGTTACTTCAAATGTAATTTATCAATACTATTATTTAAATCATCACAAATAGTGCCAAAGCCTAACCCTGCAATTCTGCAGTCCCACAGTTCTCAGGACTGACAGACTAGAATAAAACAAACTGAAAGCAGAAAGTTCATTTTAAAAATGTAAAATGAAAAGCAGAATATAGACATACATTATATATTACTACCCCCCTAAAACTGCTATGGGAACAGCGCACATGCAGATATATAACCAAACTGCAAAAAAACCTCTGAAACATTACAGCACTTGCAATAACAGGCAATAATACCATTTGAACTGGCAAGAGAAAGAATTAAAATCACATGCAAATAGATTACAGCAAGCTGTTGCCTGCAAAATTCTTGCAGCCACGCTATAAAGCACACAGATAACGTCTTACGTGTGTGGAGGTTTCTTTAGGGTGGGATTTAATCCATCTGTTCTCTGTGAGTGCCTATCTTTGTAAGGTCCTCAGATGCCCAGTATTTTCTAGTTAACCTTAAAGCCCTCTGCAGACTGAAGTTTAATTAGCTGAACATGCTCAAAATTGCAAATCTAAGGCAGCAAGTCCTACCTCCCAACAAACACTTCACTGCATTTCAGCTGAAAGCCCCCCCAAATCCAGGTCCACCCTATGGAGAAACCTTCAGAGCTACATAAGGTCAGGGACAGAACAGCTCCATTCATAGTGCTCTCCTTCAACTGATACATCAGTGTCTTGGAGCAACAGTACTCACAGGGGGGGTCTGCCTGTTAGCAAACATGATGAAGATTTGAACCCACACCTCCTGTACGTGTGTCCTAATCACCAGCTCCTATGCTTTCCTGGATGAGAAGCAGTCTCCCGCCCTTCTCTTGAAGCTGAAATGCCATGCACAGAAAAGGCTTCTGGGACAAGCTACTAAAATCCCAGTGAGGCAGCAGGTAGCTTGGGTGGAATAGACTTCCCACACTGCCAAGCCATGAAAGAAAAGGGATGAAACCCAGAGATGCCTGTGTTCAGGAAACAAACCCACACACTTCTCCTGCTGTCACCTTAGGAGAGGCCGCTCTAGTACAGCAAAAGATTTCCTTCCTAGAAAGCAATCACTACAACATCAAACCAACAGAGATGAAGCCTCCCAGCCTTGCAAAGAAGAAAATCATATCCCGTCAACAGCCTCCAGTAACAGCGAGGCTGATACTCGTTTTCTGTGCAACCAGAATCAGTCTGAACAGGGAGTAACGCAAGACTGCAAAACAACCAGTGTGCTATGAGCAGTATCAGCCTCTACACCACGACTACATCTCCTCAACA